CCCTGCCGTCATTGCCATAGTAACAGAAACTGAAATAACATACAAACACAAATTATTCAGTAGAAAAAAACTTTCTATCCTTTATAACAAACTCTGGAAATGGTTTGATTTCTACTGAGCAAAATTCTACCCTAACAGTTAAGATATCCAACTCTTTCATATTATAAGTAAAATAATACTAGTAAAGAAAAATGCCCTACTCGCAAAGCAATAGAAATTAATTTTGTGCTGGCAAAACCAGGGGTGAATAACAGTAAGAAGTACCAGTGGCAGTCCACACACAATATAAATACATTTGTACAAAGGTTGTATTCAACAAGCATTCAAAACAAAAACGGTTCTATTTTGTTGTTGTCTTATTGATTCTAAATAAAATCCACACAATTTTGCTAATAACTTATAGCCTCAATAAATGTTAAGTCTCCTAAGAATTAATGTAGTTTAGCTTCTGCCATATAAATTTTATAAAACATGAAGTGTTACATCAAATAAGCAGACAAATATCAGTCTAGAGCAATTTTTATGTTTTAGAGGAAAACTACTTTTAGAAAGAAGTGCATTTATGTGGAGTCTATGGCTGTCCTATTTCATTCTGAATTCTATGTCATTTCAGATAGTGCTATAACAAGATCTAGTATACTTTTTCAGACTCTGAAGTCCATTTCATTTTCAAATGATATTCAAACGCCTATAGGTACCGGGCAGGAAACAAATGTATGAATCAAGCTAGATGACAATAGGCAAGTTTTGTAGCCTTAACTATACAGTGTGTCTAGAGTCATTTAAGTGCTTTTAAAAACCACTGGGCCAGTTAACTTAAGTAATGGTTTGAAAAAGATAATCTGAACAATTAGACAAGTACAGAGTGCAGCAAAATGGCTACTTAATAAGGGAACAGATTGAACTCTGGTGGCTTCTGTGGTGGGCACTGACCCTAAGAGATTTGCCCACCACAGTCTACCAGCTGGACCCTAACCCCCCAAAAAACCCTGGAATGGTTCCGTAAAGAGATTTTTGCTTATATGTATGAGAATCATAACAGACCATCCTAGAGAAGATCCAGATTGCCAAGAGTGTCCAACATTGCATTCTTACCTGAAAAGTATTCCCCCAAACCTGCCACCTACTCCACAACACCCATCTGTTCTCCCCTTAATTGCACAAAGATACAGTCCAGTATATGGACCTGAACTGGATTAGAATCCAGGGATAATGGACTGAAACAAAAGACGTTTTGCTTCAATGTCAAGCAAGTATATAGATTGAAAGTAAACAATTAACTATGGCAAATTCCCAGTTCAACTGTCATCTTTTTGGATATATACCTCAATGTACTACAGGAGCCTCAAACTCCTTATGTCTAAAACTGAATCTATTATTTTAGCATCATAAACTTGTTCCTCTGCTGACCACTGTAAACCTTTTCATAACAAGAAGCTGATCACATTACTTGTTTAAATTTTTAAGGTCTTCTCACCGTCTACAGAAAATCAAATTAGCTTAGCAAGATAAATAAAGACAACTCACATACACTGAATACATAGGATATTTTATGACATTTATTGACATTTTATGACATTTTACTGACATTTTTATATTTTATTCATTGAACTTCCCTTTCTCTCTTGAGGATTTAAGATAGTGGCACTACCTACGCATGACTACATTTCATCCTCCCAACAGCCTTGTAAGGTAAGGAACTGAAGCTTAGAAAAGTCACATAGCTAGTGAGCTGTGGAATCTGGACTCCAAGTGCTAACTCCGCCTTGCCATCCTAGCCTCACTGCTGCCCTTCCTTGCCACTTACCCTTCTCCCAACATACTTGGTTCTTCAATGCCTCCATGCCCTCACCTGACCTATCCCCGCAAATCAGTTAAGTCCTGAACTCTCTTCACAGGAATACTGATTCTTTACCACACGGTCTTCCTATTAAGTCTTCGCTTACATACCTTCCCAGAAGAGACATAACATGGCATTCTTTCATGTGTGTTTTCTAGAATTTTTACCAATGTAGCTCAGGTACTAGTGCTTATCACTCTATTTCTATATCCCACTAAACTAGGAACACCTCCGTACAAGAACTTTTCCTAATTTGAGTATTTACCACAACAGCACTGACAAACAGGCAGTAATGAATGAATGAGTCGAACTACTCTATAAAGGATGACTAAAAAGCAACTGTGGAAAAAGAAATTACTGAATTTAGGAGACAGAAATTTAGAGATCTAATCCAGGACCTGCTGCTAACTGATCATATGGTCTTATTCAAATCACCAGAACACTCTGAACTCGTCATTTTTCCCCAGGCAGGAATTATAATATTTGCTCTGCTTAGTACACAGGCAGAGTCTAAGACCGTCTGAGATAATACAGAGCAAAGCCACAATGGTTTATACAATTGTAAGACATTATTTTAGAGATTTAGTTTAATTTGTTTAATGTGCTAAATGCTTTAATTATAATGAGTATTATTTTTAAACATGATAAATAATAAAAATAAATGAAATTCAAAAACTTTCATGGTCAAATTAATGTAGGGAGGAGGCAAAAGAACTAAAGTGTTAAATCAAGATACATTGAGAAACTGCAATATGCTGATCAGCCCTGCAGTCCGGCCAGGAGGATATCTGCAGAACAAAGGAAGATTTCTACTGGGATTACTAACAACCCACTCTCCACACCTGTGAAAGGGAAACAGGAACAACAGAGTGTTTAAGTGGCTGCCCTACACAAATAAAACTGTTCATTCCTTATAGCTAAAACCCTGGGGAACCTATGGATGAAAGGCTGGCAACTGCCAGCAGGCCTTTCAGGCTACATACTCTTCCCCTTCTCCTCCTCACTGTATGTCCAAATCAAAGGAGATGGGTAAACAAAGGCTTTAAACTGTAACTCACAGAAACTAAAGAATGATATACAAACTGAATTCCCAGAATACTAGGGGTCCCTCTCACTGTCTTTCTCTTGGTATTCTTTACTCTGTCTCTCTGTCGTCTTCCTTAGTCCCTCTCACTCTCCCTCTGAGAGGAGACCACGCTCTGTGTGTGTGGAGTGTTACCCTTTTTCTAATAAACTTTCCTTCTGACTCTAACTTGAATTCCTTCTACCCTGTCAGCCAAAGATATTTCTTCTCTCAATGGAGGGCTTTCAGGAGAATTTGCCCTATCCTGCATCAAAATAATTTTTAAGCACTAAGCTATTCTTGGAATGCGATCTAAGGCAATGCTATCAAACCATTTTTGGATTTCTATGTGTCAGGATCAGATGCAGAAAAGACAAAGGAAAAATAAAACAAGAATGGTATATAGCAGACATCCCAAATCATGTTTGTTAAGTGGGAGTTTGGGGTTGGGAGTGGGGAAAGAAGCTGGGGAGGATGGACTGGGAGTTAGAAATGAAATACTTTGAGGCAATCCAGATAGTACAAATTTAAACAAGTTTCTTACTGCAAGACTTCCCAGCTCTTTAATATGCTAATATGTACCCTAAATCTCAAAAAAAGGTGATAATGTATATGACCCCCAGTAGTATTCTAGGAGATTCCTTTAGGTATATAAAATTTGAGTTCACAAACAATTATCTTCAAACAGTAGGAAAAATGTGCCTGTTAACTTTTTTTTCCCCCAACATTCAGCAGGGGGCACTTAAAAGCTCCAACAAAGAGCAATATCTAGGGATTACAGAGTGCTTTCTGACTGGTCCAGATCTGTAGCTGATAGAAAATTTTCAGATGGGTTTGCCAGTTCCTAGGAGGAAAAAAAGGTTAAGACCCAACTCTAGTTGTCCAAGGTCTATATTTTCCTTTGAAAAAGTTTATGATGAAAAAACATTTTATAATGTCTCTTTAAAAAAAAAAAAAGCACGAAGAAAAAACACATAAGTAAACGCTTTAGAAATCCAAAAGAAAGATGTATGTTGAGCTCAGGTTGTGGCCTTGGAAGGCAGCTGACTGGCTGCCAAGGTGCCTCTTAGGACAGGCTGCTGTGCTCAGTCTGCCAATGGGCAAGCTCTGGCCTTCAGTTACCAGTGTCCAGAGCAATCAAATTCTGAAGCTCCTTTATCCTAAGAGAGTTCAAAAGAGACTGATATATAAGAACAATGTCAATTTACTGATTTACACAATAAGAAATTGAGTAACAAGGAACAGATCCTCTATCTTCTGGCAAATGCATTCTGTCCTTATAGGCAAGCTAGGTGTAAAGCCATAATGAGGATCAGAAGAATGCTCGGTGATAATGGTGTCAGAACAAAGGAAACTGTATTCGACTGAAATGGTTAATGACATTAGGAAAGGTGGAATCTTTAAAAAAAAGATGAGTAATCACTATCTTGCCCAGGGCACTTCTATCCATTTTAAAGTGGCCAGAGATGACCAATATAAAGCTCTGTTGCTGACTGGGCTTTCCCAGAATAAAACAAAACTGGGGGGCTAGAGATGGACAGAAATATTACTGAGCAAAACTTTTGGGGAAATTTTTATGAAACATAAAAGAATTTAGGGAATTCAAAACAATTCCTAACAACTAAGAATTGTTTGCATTATTGACACAGAAATAAATATGAAACTGTTTTAGATAAAAATTTATAAACCTGAGATCTTTATAAATGAGGAATAAACAGAAGATCAGGTTTCTCCCATCATAAGGAGATGAAATGAGTTTAACTCCAAAATCCAGAAGTGAGTATCAAGTAATGAAAAACAACTTCCAGACACAATGTAATTTAATCATGATTGCTATGTTCTTTCCATTGTAGTTACACATATTTGCAAACGTGTATGCTTTGTTTAAACACCAAATCAGAGCAAAACCTATGTCTACTCATCTTTGTAATGGAAGTATAACAGCACTTGGCAAAGTGCAGAACACACAGTAGGCATTCTGTAAATAAATGAGAGTGAGTAATTGAACTCCAATGTATTTTAAATTACAGATGTTTCATATATAATAATTTCCTTTGGATTATAAACTAGTTAC